CCCAAACAACAGTGTAAGAGTGTGGGGAAGGCACTCAATTTTTAAATTCCAAATCTCTACACCACAGCACCCAGTGTCATCAGAAGGAAATTATGTGGCAGTGGGGCAGGTCCATTATGAGGTATCATTAGGCATACAACGTTTGGAGAAGCAACTTAACAGCTCTACTCCCAACTTCAGGCCCTGAGCCTGATCTCAGTTGGATTACAGTCCTGGGGCACAATGCCCTTAGACCAGCTATTTTTTATTCGGTGTGCCGAAAGAGGCACACTGATATGTGCAAGAATTTTTAAAACATGCGATAACTTGGGAAGCTCTCGGGGCAACATGGTGTTGCCCAGCGACAAGAAGCAGCTGGCTCAGAATTTGCGGCAACCTGCATTAGTAGATGAGACAACTGAGGCTCAGAGAGGTTAAGGCTTTCTCCCACGGTCACGCCACAGGTGAGCAGGTGGTTGTCCAACAAGCAGAGGCATGAGCTGGGCCCGTGCCATCCTGCTAGCTCAGGGTCTCTCTCGGAGCTGGAGAGGCATCTGTGGTGCCGCCCTCACGGGAGCCCCCTTCTCTCAGGTACCCTCCCAGGCCGCTTGAGGCCTCCACTGCAGTGTAGCCACCCACAGCTCTGACTCATCGCTGGTCCCAAGCCCACCTGAGCCCCTGTGGGTACCCGCTAAGGCCCTATCACCCTACGAAGAGCTGTTTAGGCAGGCGCCAGATGGGATCTGGGACAAGGCCAGCTTTGTGTGAGCCGTGCAGAACTTCAGGCAGCACAACATGCACAAGCGGGCCCACGTTGACTTCATCTACCTAGCCCTGCGCAAGATGCGGGAGTACAGAGTCAAAGGGACCTGGCTGTCTACAACCTGCTGCTTGACATCTTCCCTAAGGAGGTCTTCCAGCCTCACAGCGTCTTCCAGAAAATCTTCATTCACTACCCACAGCAGCAGGAGTGTGGAATTGCAGTCCTGGAGGAGATGGAAAACCATGGGGTGATGCCCAACAAGGAGACAGAGTTCCTGCTGGTTCAGATATTTGGGCGCAAAAGCTACCCCATGCTCAAGTTCGTGCACATGAAGCTGTGGTTCTCCCGCTTCAAGAATGTCAACCCCTTTCCCGGGCCCCGGGACCTGCCCCAGGACCCCGTGGACCTGGCCACGCTGGGCCTGCAGCACATAGAGCCTGACCTCAGCGCCAGGGTCACCGTCTACCAGATGCCTTCGTCTAAAGATTCCACAGATAACAGCAGATCCTGAACAGCATATCGTAGGTATCCAGAGCCCCGATCAACAGGCCATACTGGCTCACCACAACCCAGCCCGGCCTATCTTCATCGAGGGCCCCTTCTCCCTGTGGCTCCGCAACAAATGTTTCTACTACCACATCCTCAGAGCAGACTTGGTGCCCCCTGAGGAGAGGGAAGTGGAGAAGACTCCAGAGGAATGGAACCTCTACTATCCGATGCAGCTGGGCTTGGACTATGGGAGGAGTGGCTGGGATGACTATGAGTTTGATATCAATGAAGTGGAGGAAGGCCCTGTCTTCACCATATGTATGGTGGGTGCCCATGACCAGGCCACACTGGCCAAGTGGATCCAGGACCTGCAGGAAACCAACTCAGCCCTGGCCCAGATCCCAGTGGTCTTCTGCCTGGCTGCGTCCACCGGGGAGCTGCTGGCGACCTCAGGACTGGATGAGCTGTCCTCGCCACCACCCAAAGGGCAGGAAGAAGAGGAAGATGATCCACAGCTACAGCAGCAGAGCCGGAGCTGAGGCCTGAGCAGGCACAGGGGCATGGGCTTGGACTGGTGTGAAAACGTGATGTGACTACTGAATGTAAAGCAAATAAAAGTTTTCCGGTTTGGAAAAAATAAATAAATAAAACATGCGATAACTTACTATTTAATTAGGGGCACTGACCTCTCTTTTTTCCCTTAGGTTGTCAAATAAAAAAATGACAACAGCCCGGCTGGTGTGGCTCAATAGTTGAGTATCAACCTATGCACTAAGAGGTCACCAGTTCAACTCCTGGTCAGGGGACATGCCCAGGTTGTGAGCTCAATCCCCAGTGTGGGGTGTGCAGAAGGCAGGCAATCGATGTTCTCTCTCATGTTTCTCTCTCTCTCTCTCTCCCTCTCCTTTCCTCTTTCTCTAAAAATCAATGAAGAAAATTTTTTTTTTAATTTCATAATTTAAAACAAATGACAACAGCCAATGCAACAATAGTTGTCCAGTGTCAATGAATCAAAATTATACCTATTTTTAGTCAGATTGGCAAAAAAAAAAAAATCTATTTTTTGGTGTGCTGCAGAACTTTAAAATTAGTTTCTGTATGCTATGAGATGAAAAAGGTTGATAATTGCTGCCCTAGACTACAATGAGTTGGAGACAGCAACCAAGCCTGAGCTGATCTGAATGGACTTTGTCCACGTGAAGATACCCAGTTACATTCCACATACCCACGGATAGCCCAAGACCAAGACACAGAAGACTGCTGGTCCTCAGTCACCCTCCGCGGGCGGGGCCCAAGTTTTGAGTCCACAGGGCACTGCTGGCTGGACCCAACTTTCGCTACTGATAATCTTTCCGGTTCTAGAGTCTCCCTGTTTTCTTGCTTTCTTCCTTTCCTGAAACATTACATCCATGTGGAGTCACCCAAACCCTCCACTTCCTGGCGTTAGCCGGCACTGAGCTCACCAGGGAGACCCAGGCAGCGGAACCGGAAATACTTGCTTGGAAACCGGGAAAGAAACTACATCTCCCAGCATGCCCAGTGAACTCTCGGTCTGACGTTAAGGGTCAACACAAGGGAAATGGCCTGGCACTGGTCGGGTTTCAGTTGGTTGGAACATCTTCCGGTATACCAAAAAGGTTGTGGGTTCTATTCCAGGTCAGGGCGCGTAGGAGATACAACCGATGGATGTTCTCTCTCACGTCATTGTTTTTCTTTCTTTCTCTCCCTTTCTCTCTTTCTCTAAAAATCGATAACCTATCCTCCGGTAAGGACTTAAAAAGAAAGAGAAAGAATTGACCCCACCACAGTCATACTGACCAATCACAGAGCAGAGTTGTGTAAATACACGGGGGCTGGGCACTTCCGGCGACTTTCTGGGCATCTCCTGGAGAAATTGGGGAGAATGGGAGCGTGGGAGACTCACAGTGGCTGGGCCTTGTCGTCTCAGTGTACTGGCCTGCTCATATCACCTTGTCCTGATTAATACAAAAGGCCAACTATGGAGGTTTCAGAGGCAAACTGAGGAAGACCAGCTGGCCTGGTACTCCTCTAAATGTACCTGTCCTCTAAGAATTTTTTTTTTTTTAGAATTTAGAAAACAGAATGAATAGTAGGATAGATGTGTGCTGACCCAGTTCACCCAGTTCCCTTCCGCCTCAGCTCCCTTCCACCTCCATTCCCTCCCGCTTATCGCTTACTGCCTCCGCTTCTGTACTTGCTTGCTTTCTCTCCCCCAAGGCCAACAAGAAATGCCAGTTGCAGAAGGTTATAACAAGCCCCCTATAAAGTAAAAAATTAGCTGAAAGTCAGGGCTGATATCTGAGAACTTAGGATCAGTCACCGGCTGGCTTTGCTCTCTATTTGGCTTTAATTTGGCTCTGGTGGTCTCTCGGTCCTCTTGTGCCACAACACTCAGGTCTTGATGAGTTGCTTTCTGCTATTTCTGCAGGAAGTTTTCCAGAATCATTAATTCCAGAACGGCAAGGGGGATCCTACCCGTCGGGAGTAAGCCCTTGAGTGCATAAAGGAGCTTTGCAGAGGAATTGGACCTCTAAGGACTATTCTCATCCCTCCCAGTTCTGTCTCGAAGTCCCTGTGGCATCTTGAAAAGGGCACTCCCGCACCCTAGGTGGCATCCACGCTCCCAACAACCGGGGCTGAGGTGGGACCAGGTCCCTTCTGGTCTTTTAGAAGACAGTAGGCTGGCCCTGGCCAGTTTGGCTCAGCGGTTAGAGCGTCAGCCTGCGGTCTGGAGAGACCCGGGTTTGGTTCCCAGTAAGGGCACGTACTTTGGTTGCAGTTTGTCCCCGGCCTTGGTTGGTCGTGCGGGTGGCAGCCACTCGATGTGTCCCTTCACGTCGATGTTTCTCTCTCTCTCTCCTTCCTCTCCCTCCCTCCCACTCTATCTGTACAAAAAAATGGAAAAAATATCCTCGGGTGAGGATTAAAAAAAAAAAAAAGAAGAAGAAGACAGTAGGCTGTATGTAATGGGAGGGCCCCTGAGCTCCAAATAGCCTTTTCACCAAGCTGTCTTCGCTGCTAGGCCAGGCACACAAGAGAAATGGCTTACCAAATTCTTACTTTCAGAATCACCACCCCCAGAGCAGGCCCATTATAGAAGGCTAAAACAGAGTGCCTCATTAAGTGTCTTTCTGAAATGCTGCTCAAATTACAGATTTCTAGGCTTCATTACACACACATTGAAGAAACACAAAACCTCCAGAGGCAAACTGAGGAAGACCAGCTGGCCTGGTACTCCTCTAAATGTACCTCTTAATCACACTAACATTCCATTGATTGATAGGACTGGTAAACTTAGGGAAGGAATAGGCCTGGATAGGATGCTACAGGGACCTTAGCAATGAGTGTGATGTGGAAGGAGAGGGACCAGCAAAGGGAAGGGTGTTGGGAGAACCCTGAATCCCTATCTTTTTCATGATTCTTCCTGGCCTGCTCAGTCTTCTCCTTTACCTTAGAGTGTCCTTACTTAATGTTCCTGGAGAGTTGTTCCCTCATCTTTTCTCTTTTAGTAGTTTCTTCTAGAACTTCAGTTTACCATCTTGGTCCCTATAGCACTGACTCAACAATTATGTCCATTTTTATTCCCTCTTTCCCAGTCCCTACTACCAGCCCTTAGAACCCATTTATACTTCGTCTCCAGCACTCAGGAACCTATTAACACCAAGCCCTTTTCCCCTTGCATGTGATATTTCTAGCTCTTCTCAGCCTCTTGTCCTGAGGTGGGGCTCTCATGTCATTTCAGGGACAAATGCTATCTGAGGATCTGGCTGTGTATTTTTCTCAAGAGAAAAATGTGAGTCTGCACCCTGCCCAGAGGTTATTTAGCCTAGTCACCACCCAGGAGTGTTTGAGGCCATGGCTTTGATGGGTAAGGCATTTGTTTTTTCTGCATTTTGGAACTTTGTCCAGTTCTGTGATTAGGACTTCATGTTTCATCCATATGTTGGTATCGGGGACTGGGACCTATCTCTGGGTGATTTATGTAGATATGATTAGAATTTGCATGAGAGTGCAATTTTCAAAGAATTAAATTATTTTCTTTTTGGAAATGTTTTTTTAAAATTTATTTTTGTTACAGATGTTTCTTCTTTTTCTCCACTAACACCCTCCTCCAAATCCCCCTACCCCGTCCCCAACTTTGTTGTCCATGTTCATCGGTTATGCATACATGCATATAAGTTCTATAGTTTATCTCTCCCTTCCCCCTCTCCCCCTCTTTTGAGGCCTGTCAGTCTGTACCTCACTTCCAAATCTCTGGGACTACCCCATTCCTCAGACTGTTATGTTCATTATATTCCACAAATAAGTGAGATCATATGAAACTTGTCTTTCTCTGCTTGGCTTGTTTCACGTAGGATAATACTTTCCAAGTCACTCCTTGTTTTCTCAAAGGATAAGAGATCTTTCTTTCTTACTGCTGCATAGTTCTCCATTGTGTATATGTACCACTGCTTTTTTATCCATTCATCTACTGATGGACACTTGGGCTGTTTCCAGATTTTAGCTATTGTAAATAGTGCTCCTACAAACATGGGGGTACATATATTCTTTCTGATTGGTGTTTCAGGCTTCCTAGGGTATCTCCCTAGAAGTGGGATCACTGAGTCAAATGGCAATTCAATTTTTAATTTTTTGAGGTAACACCATAGTGTTTTTCATAGTGGCTGCACCAGTCTGCAGTCTCACCAGCAGTATACTAAAGTCCCCTTTTCTCCACATCCTCGCCAACACTTGTTGTTTGATGACTTGTTGATGGCGGCCATTCTGACAGGTGTGAGGTGATACCTCATTGTTGTTTTAATTTGCATCGCTCTGATGATTAGTGATGTTGAGCATTTTTTCATATGTCTCTTAGCCATTTGTATGTCCTCTTTGGAGAGATGTCTATTTAGTTCCTCTGCCTAATTTTTTATCCTCACCCAAGGACATTTTTTCTTTGTTGTTGTTGTTGTTGTTGAGATAGAGTGGGAGGGAGGGAGGGAGGGAGGGAGAGAGAGAGAGAGAGAGAGAGAGAGAGAGAGAGAGAGAGACATCCACGTGAAAGGGACACATCGAGTGGTTGCCACCCACACGACCCAACCAGGGCCGGGGACACACCGCAACTGAGGTACGTGCCCTTAGTGGGAACGGAACCCAGGTCTCTTTGGACTGCAGGCCATGCTCTAACTGTTGAGCCAAACTGGCCAGGCCTCCTCTGCCTATTTTTTTTTTTTTATATCCTCACCCGAGGACATTTTTCCATTTTTTGTACAGATAGAGTGGGAGGGAGAGAGAGGAAGAGAGAGAGAGAGAGAAACATCGATGTGAAAGGGACACACCGAGTGGCTGCCACCCGCACGACCAACCAGGGCCGGGGACAAACTGCAACCGAGGTACATGCCCTTAGCGGGAACCAAGCCAGGGTCTCTCCGGACCGCAGGCCAATGCTCTAACCGCTGAGCCAAACTGGCCAGGGCATCGTCTGCCTATTTTTTAATTGGGTTCTTTCTCTTCCTTTTGTTGAGTTGTATGATCACTCTATATATTTTGGAAATTAACCCCTTATCTGATATATCATTGGCAATTAAGCTCTCCCATACACTGGGTTCCCTTTCCATTTCGATGGTTTTTTCTTTTGCTGTGCAGAAGCTTTTTACTTTGATGTAGTCCCACGTGTTCATTTTTTCCTTTGTTTCTATTGCCTTGGGTGATGTATTTGTGAAAATTCTGCTGCGTGTGATGTTCGAATTTTTGTTGCCTACATTTTCTTCTAGGATTCTTATGTATTCACGAGTCATATTTAAGTCTTTTATCCATTTTGAGTTTATTCTTGTGTATGGTGTAAGTTGATGGTCTAGTTTCATTTTATTGCATGTAGCTGTCCAATTTTCTCAACACCATTTATTAAAGAGGCTGTCTTTACTCCATTTTGTGCTCTTGCCACCTCTGTCAAATATTAATTGAGCATATTGCCTTGGGTCCATTTTGGGTTCTTTGTTCTGTTCCACTGGTCTTGTGCCAGTACCAGGCTGTTTCAATTACAGTAGCTTTGTAGTATAACCTGAAACCCGGTATTGTGATCCCACCTACTGTGACCTTCTTTTTCAAGATTGCTATAGCTATGTGGACTCTTTTTCAGTTCTATGTGAACTTTTGAAGTATTTGTTCTAGTTCTGTGAAATATGTCATTGGTATTTTGGTGGGGATTGCATTGAATCTATAGATTGCATTGGGTAATATGGACATTTTAATGATGTTAATTCTTCCAATCCATGAACAAGGTAGGTGCTTCCACTTTTTTTATATCTTCCTCTATTTCTTTTTTCAATGTCTTGTAGTTTTCTGCAAATAGGTCCTTTACTTCTTTGGTTAAGTTTATTCTTAGATATCTTAATTTTTTACCACAATGGTAAATGGGATTGTTTTTTCAGTTTCTCTTTCTGTGAGTTCATCATTGGTGTATAGGAATGCCATCAATTTCTTGACGTTAATTTTGTATCCTGCTACTTTGCCAAATTCATTTATTATGTCTGGTAGATTTTTGATGGACTCTTTTGGGTTTTCTATGTATAATATCATGTCATCTGCAAATAATGACAATTTCACTTCCTCCTTTCCAATTTGGATTCCTTTTATTTTTTCTTCATGTCTGATTGCTCTGGCTAAGACTTCCAGTACTATGTTAAATAAGAGTGGCAAAAGTGGGCATCCCTGTCTTGTTTCTATTCTTAAGGGAAATGCTTTTGGATTTTGCCCATTGAGTATGATGTTGGCTGTAGGTCTTTCATATATGGCCTTTATTATGTCAAGATATGATCCCTCTATTCCCACATTGCTGAGTGTTTTTATCAGAAATGGGTGCTGGATTTTGTCGAATGCTTTTTTCAGCGTCTATTGATATGATCTATGAGAATGTTTCTGTTCTTCCTGTTCATTTTGTTTGTAGATTCCATTGTTGATAGATATGTATTCATTGCCATTTTATTTGTTCATACATTTTATCTTTTTCTTCAAAAAGACCCTTCATCATTTCATATAATAACGGTTTGGTAGTGATGAACTCCTTTAACTTTTTCTTGTCTGGGAAAGTTTTTATATGTCCTTCAATTCTAAATGACAGCTTTGCAGGATAGAGTAATTTTGGTTGTAGGTTCTTGGTTTTCTTCACTCTGAATATTTCTTGCCACTCCCTTCTGGCCTGCAAAGTTTCTTTTGAGAAATCAGCTGACAGCCTAATGGGTACTCCCTTGTAGGTAACTAGCTGCCTTTCTCTTGCTGCTTTTAATATTCTCTCTTTGTCTTGAACCTTTTGCATTTTGATGATGATGTGTCCTGGTGTGTGCCTCTTGGGGTTCATCTTGTTTGGGACTCTCTGTGCTTCCTGGACTTGTATGTCTGTTTCCTTCACCAAGTTAGGAAAGTTTTCTGCCATTATTGTTTCAAACAGGTTTTCGATTTCTTGTTCTCTCTATTCTCCTTCGGGCACCCCCAAGACGCGAATGTTGGCATGCTTGAAGTTGTCCCAGAGACTCCTTACACTATCCTCATTTTTTTGGATTCTTTTTTCTTTTTGTTGTTCTGATTGGGGATTTTTTGCTTCCTTATATTCCAAATCGATGGTTTGCTCCTTGGATTTACATACTCTATTATTGAAGCTGTGTAAATTATTCTTTATTTCAGTTAATGCCTCCTTTAATTCTAACTGTGTATCCATGATTTCTAACTGGTCCTTTTTTATGCTCTTGAGGCCCTCCCTAAGTTCACTGAGGTTCTCACTGAGTTCATTGAGTATCCTTATAAGCAGTATTTTGAACTCAGTATCTGTTATGTTGCTTATCTCCCTTTCGCTTAGTTCTTTTATTGGGGTTTTGTTCTGTTCTTTCATTTGGGACCTGTTTCTTTGTCTCCTCATTTTGGCTGCCTCCCTGTGTTTGTTTCTGTGTATTACTTAATGAGAGGTATGGGGCTCTCTGAGACCCGGTGCTGCTCGTTTGAAAGAATTTAGGAAAACCTGAAGCAGGATCCAAGACCGGCCAATCCTATGGCTAAGCAAGTGGCAACAGCTTGGGTGGGCTTGAAAGTTCTGTGGGGTGGGGCAGGGCCTCAGGGAGTCAGCAGGGTGGGGCTACCAGTGTGAGCCAGGTTGCTGGAGTCCCAGATATGGCTTCTGTCTGCCGCCCCCTGGAAGGGCTCACCAAAGGAACAAAGGCCTCTGACAGCACGTTTGTCCCCGAGGAAGCCCCCTCTCCAGCGCTCGCTCCAGTGCCAAACAGCTCAGTTCTTCCCTGTGTGTCTCTGGCGCCCCTCAATCTGCCTCCCCTCTGAGTTAGAGGGAGAGAGTCCGATAAGTCCGTGCGCGGGCCCTTTAAGGAGCTGCCTGGGGCTCCAGCCGCTTCAGCTTCCCTGAGCCTCAGTTTCCGCTGGTTTTTCCAGCCAGAAGTTATGGGGATTCTCTTCCTGGCACTGGAACCCTGAACGGGGCACCTGGTGTGGGACGGGGACCCCTCAGTCCTCAGGAAGGACCTTCCCAGCTGCGGGAGCCTCCTGATTTTTATCCACCACGCTTGGGTGTGGGACCAGCCCGTCTCGCCGCCGCCCAGCCGCCTGTCCTACCGGTCTGGATGTAGCTGCTTTTTTTTCTTAGTTCCGTAGTTGTACGACTTCCATTCAGCTTGATTTCAGGCGGTTTTGTTTTTTTTGTTTGTTTTTATCCTCACCCGAGGACCTTTTTCCATTTCTTGTTCAGATAGAGTGGGAGGGAGAGAGAGGAACAGAGAGAGAGAGAAACATCGATGTGAAGGGACACATCGAGTGGCTGCCACCCGCACAACCAACCAGGGCCGGGGACAAACTGCAACCGAGGTACATGCCCTTAGCGGGAACCGAACCCGGGTCTCTCTGTACCGCAGGCCGATACTCCAACCGCTGAGCCAAACCGGCCAGGGCCAGGTGGTTTTGAATGATGGTTGTTCTGTAGTTTAGTTGTAACTTTGATGTGGTTGTGGGAGGACGCGATACCGCGTTTACCTACGCCGCCATCTTGACCGGAAGTCCACAATGGTTTCTTATGAGACATGGCAGTACCTGATTATCTTCTCAAAGATTTGTTACACTCAGGTCACACTTTTACTTGTGAAAATTCCATTAGTATAGGTTACTATCATTGCTGAAGACTAGAAATTAATATACAGTCTGCCCTCGTTTATTGCAGTCAATCAGTTCCAGAGTCTACTGCAATAAATGAATTTCTGCAAAGTAGGATTCTTTATATACAGTTGTCCCTTGCCACTTTGCGCTTTGACTTTTGCGGCTTCACTGTTTCGCGGGTTTTTCAAATAATACTATACTATATTTGAAAAAACCACAATAGAGTATATTTGAAAAAACCACGATAGAGTGAAGCCGTGAAAGTCGAAGCGCAAAGTGGCAAGGGATGACTGTACTCTTTTTTTTTTTTTTTAAATCTTGAGATAGAGTGGGAGGGAGGGAAGGAGAGAGAGACAGAGAGAGGGAGAGAGAGAAACATTGCTGTAAGAGTGACACATCGACTGGTTGCCTCCTGAATGACCCCAACCAGTGCCGGAGATGAACCACAACTGAAGTATGTGCCTTTGACCGGAATGGAACCCATGACTCATTGGTCCCCCTGCCGATGCTCTAACTCCTCCTGAGCCACACCGGCCAGGGCTGATGTACTCTTAAGAGGGTGCTGTGCCACCTGGCAGGTGTGGCTCAGGGGTTGAGCATCGACCCATGTACCAAGAGGTTGTCAGTTTGATTCCCCGTCAGGGTACATGCCCAGGTTGTGGGCCAAATTTCCAGTGGGGGCATGCAGGAGGCGGCCAGTCGATGTTCTCTCTCATTGATGTTTCTATCTTTCTCTCCCTCTCCCTTCCTCTCTCTCTAAAATAAAATAAAATTAAAAAGACTGTGCTGTGCCTTTCTCACCTAAGAGGAACTCTATACCTGAGTAGATTTTATCCATGATGAGGGTTGACTTTTTTTTAAAGATTTTTTAAAAATTATGTTTGTATTGAAGTTAGAGAGAGAGGGAAAGAGAAACGTCCATTGGCTATCTCCTGCACAACCCCTACTGGGGACTGAGCCCACAACCCAGGCCTGTGACCTGACCAGGAATATAACTGACAATCTCTTGGTGTGTGGGACAATGCTGAACCAGCTGAGCCACACTGGCCGGTATTGCTGCTGCCTCAACATACTTGATTTCTTCCTGGACATAGCTGCTCTTGTCCATGAACAATACCTCTTCTGATAATGGCAGTGGAACATCCTTGAGGTCTGGGTGGGCCATCTGCACTATGTTGATTACCTCCAAGAAGTCCTGTAGAGGTTTCTCTGGGTCATCATGCAGGAGGCAGGCTGGTAGAATTGATGGCCAACATCTTGTAGAACTTGAGGTGGGCTGACCTGGAGTGGCAGTGGCCAGTAATTAAGCAGTCATTGGAGAAGATCACATCTGAGTAGGGGGTATGGGCACTCTGGCATGACCAGAAATGAATGAGTCACAATATTTTTCCCAAGGTCCATAGTCCTCTTTGAAGTCCAGGGGTAGGTTAGGGGTCCATTGGCTCAGTCATAACTGAGTCTGCTGCACCATTATCCTCTACACCAGATTTAGTCCTATCTTTTCTATTCCTAATTGGGACCTAGGCCTGCCATCCAGACCTTTCCTAGGGCGATCCTTCCCTGAGGGCCCTGTTCCCCTTAAGGTTGCTACCACCTTTGCTATTTCAGCCAATTGGGACAGTTGGGAGAACATGGTGAAAAGTGTTCAAGGAAGCCCTCCCTCTGGCAGTGTTTGGGTCCCATGGTGGGCAGAGGAATGGGAACATTTCCTCTGACCCTAGGTTTACAAAAGGACACAGGAAAGGGGAGCATCATCCTAGCTCGCAAGTTTACACAGGGCAGTGTTTTTCAATTCTCCAAGAGCACTTTGGGCCTGTGCCTGGAATCCCTATTTTCAAAGTTCAGAGAAGCCTATTAGAAACTTGCTGCTGCCAAACCTGGGGCAGTGGACAGATGAGCACCCTGGGCTGGCACCGAAGGAACACGCCCCTTCTGTGGCCTGACCGCCCTCCCCGGGGAACCCCATAGGCTCAGGATGAGTGCCTGAGTGTTTGTTTGCCTGCTGCCCCGTTTCCCAGGATGAGGGGCTCTCCACACCGACCCCAGTCCCAAAGCGCGGCACCGTGCAGGACACACAGAGCAGCCCACCAGCAGGGACGGCCCCTGAAACATAAATTAATCTGTTAACTGCCTGTAGCAATCGAGCTACAAAATCTAGATATGGCTCTTCAGGCCCTTGTCTGATGGATGTAAGATCTAGTGAATTTTTTCCTTTTGTTGGGAGCTCTTTCCAGGCCTACAAAGCACAAGTATTAATCACAGCTGTAGTGGAAGACGGTGGGGGAGTTTTTAAGGACTCATAGCCTTCCGTGTCTTTCCTCAAGTCTTTTACTACACCTTGCTTCCCCACCTTTTTGTTTTCCACACAGGAACAAGGCGATCTCTAATAAGGGCCCAAAGAGTATATGTTTGGGCCAGAAACTTGTTCAGGCCTTTAACTGTAACTCTGCCTCGCAGGCACTGCCCTATCTTTGCCCAGGTTTCTCTTGGTGCCCATTTGGGGGCCCACTATCAGTATATGTGCCCTAATCAGAACCTCCCTCAAATCCTTCTCTAAGAATGTTTCAAATGCAACCCAGTGAGGTCTTCTGGGCACTAGGGCTGCTATCCATGACTAGACCAACCATAACAAAGTTGAGGGATACATAGTAGGGAGGCAGATGAGGACAGAAAGAAGGGAAGACACACAAGACAGAAACTTTTGCTTACAAACATCATGGAGCACGGTCACTCACACACAATTACATTCACACAGTCACACTCACACACCGTTTGAATTTCCTTCCAAAAATTCCCTATCCTGAATGGCACCTATGCCAAGAGTGATCAGTCTCCCTTTCCACCCCAGTGAACAGAATTTTCCAGATTTGAACCAGAATTTGCCAGATTTGAACCCCACCTAACGTCTTAGGGGGATTCCCAGGAGAGGAGAGGCTGCGCCGCGTCTGGCCCTCTCACTCTCTTCCAGATAGACCGGTCACCCAGAACACACCTCTGGAGGCTTTACCAGGTCTCCTTTAGTCTTTTTGGGGATGTCTTGGCATCTCCCGGCTGCTCGCCGGAAACCCAAGTAGGATCTTTGGGGCCCTGGAACTCGGGGTGCCTCCCCTCAAATCTATAGGGGTCCAGTGGCCAGATTGGGAGAGGCTGCCCGTCCGAAGTGTCTAGCCCTTGGTGTGGCAACACATCAGGAAATCTTGCTGGGGCCTCCAAATGTTATATCTGCTGCTGCAAAGTTCAATAATATAGGCAAGCAGCATAAAATAACGACCCTAGATTGGGTGGAGATTTTAGATAAGTAAGCCAAAAAATATTCTCTGGGGTAAGAGAAACCCCCATTCTAGTTAGCATTTCCTCGGAACGTTGTTGCAACTGCTTAAGGCTTCCCCAGGTAACCCTAGAAAGGGTTTGAGAGGAGCCCTGGGACTGAGTCCAGGACCAAGTGCGAGTTTTACAATCAGTGTCCAAGGTCAGCTGTGACATCTGAGGAATCAGGTTGAAGGGCAGGTCTTTCCTGTTCACAGTAAGGTTTTTATCCACTGCGCTGTCAGCCACTTGGGACCTGTAGGAGACAAAACACAAGCACACCCTCACCCCTCAGCCAGCAACTCTGCAGGCCCTTGCCATTCAGGCCCTTGCCGTGGACCTCTGTACCGGACTAAAGGCCCGGGCCCTGTGGCAGAAGCCTTTTGTTGAAAATGTCGCACCACAGCTGTAGTGCCAAAGCGATCTTGATTTTAAAAATTTAAGGTATATGCCCTGGCCGGTTTGGTTCAGCGGTTGGAGGGTCGGCCTGCGGTCCTGAGAGACCCGGGTTCGGTTCCCGCTAAGGGCACGTACCTCGGTTGCAGTTTGTCCCCGGCCCTGGTCGGTTGTGCGGGTGGCAGCCACTCGACGTGTTCCTTTCACATCGATGTTTCTCTCTCTCTCTCTGTTCCTCTCTCTCCCTCCCACTCTACCTGAACAAAAAAATGGAAAAATGTCCTCGGGTGAGGATAAAAAAAAAAAAAAAAAAAAAATTAAGGTATAAGGGGGTAGTGGGGGAGAGATAAACCACAGAACTTATATGCATGTATGCATGAACAGTGGACATGGAAAACAAACTGGGGACAGGGCAGGGAGGGAGGGGGCGGGGGGAATCAGTGGGGGGAAAAAGAAGAAACATCTGTAACAAAAATTAATTAATAAAAAATTTTTAAAAATTAAAAAAAATTTAAGGTATAGATTGCCAGAGAAATCTGATTTACATGGGGTTCACCCATACTCCCCCCTTTTTGTTTTGTAATTAAAATTTTTAAAGTAGCATGAGCACATTCAGCAATAGCTTGTCCTGTAGGGTTATAGGGGATGCCAGTTTTATGGCTAATGCTCCATTGTTGGAGAAATAATTTAATTCTTTGAGATGTATAGGCTGGCCCATTATCTGTTTTAATTTCCAGTGGCACCCCCATATGTGCAAAACAGAACAGCCAGTGATGCTTAACGTCTTTGGCCTTTTTCCTGGTAGTGGCGGTTGCATGTAAAAAATTGGAATGGGTATCTATAGTAACATGTCCCACTGAAATTGACCAAATGATGGATATGTGTTACATCTATTTGCCATAAGGCATTAGAGGATAAACCCCGAGGATTGACTCTTGCTGGTGTTGGAGTCCCTCTGGAAAGTTGGCAATCTGGGCAAGCCTGAATAATATCTTGAGCTTGCAAGTGGGTCAAATGAAAGGTTTCCGTGAGTGCTCGAGCATCTTGGTAAAAAAGGCATGCGAACACTGCGCTTGCTGAAATGCAAGAGTTGTTGCTACGATGGCATCCGCCTGTTGATTTCCTTGTGTTAAAGGTCCGGGGAGCGTGGAGTGAGATTGAATGTGGGTTATAAAAATAGGATAACTTCGTTGGTCTATTAAAGCTTGGAGAGACAGCCCTGGCCAGTTTGGCTCAGTGGTTAGAGCGTGGGCCTGCAGTCCAGAGGGACCCGGGTTCGGTTCCCGCTAAGGGCACGTACCTTGGTTGCAGTTTGTCCCCTGCCCTGGTTGGGTCATGCGGGTGGTGACTACTCGATGCATCCCTTTCACACTAATGTTTTTTTTTTCCTCTCTTTCCCTCCCACTCTATCTGAACAGAAAATGGAAAAAAATGTCTTGGGGTGAGGATAAAAAAAAAATGCTTGGAGAGACAAAAATATGGTTAATAGATGTTGATCAGTTAAAGGCTCATTAAAGGCTTGTTCTATTCTTTGTGACACTTTAACAACATACTGTGAATCACTAACTATATTTAAGGGCTCTTCTGTAAATTGTTCAAGAGCTAATATTGCAGCCTGTAATTCAGCACACTGAGTTGACCCAGGTTCAAGGCTGCTGATATTTTTTCATTTCTTATTTTCTTTCCAGGCTACTTTTGCTTTGTGAGATTTACCTGATCCACAGATGAATACAATTCTAGCTCCAGGTAATGGGGTATTACTGATTTTTTTGCACCAAGTTAAGGTATAACTGAGGAATATTTTGCAATAATTTATTTGCTGGAAGAGAGTAATTAATCTCTCCAATGAAATCTGCTAGAACTATTTGAAAGTCTATTGCCTGGGAAATCAAAGTGGTAAATTATTCCTGAGTAAGAGGCAAATGTAGAATCTGAGGTTCATACCCTGTCAGTTCTTGTGTTCTTTTTCCACCTTTGGTTATAAGATTTGCTAACTGTTCCACAAATGGAGTTATTGTTTTAGATGGGGTAGCTGGGAGAAAGATTCATTCAAGATATTTTATTTCAGGTGTTAACTGTCCTATTAATGTTCTAGGGTATGGCACAGTTGGATTAACAAATAGTCTAATAGGGTTTTTAATGACTGACAATGAGCTTGTCTGGTTTGTATTTGAGTAATTTCTTTAAGTTTCTGTTGCACCTCTATAGATAGAGTTCTAGCTGAATTTAGTGTTAGATCACCTTTGAGAGTATTAAATAAATGAGTTAACTGTTGAGTAGTGATACCAAGCAAAGGTCAAAGCCAATTGATGGCTCCCAGTAATTTTTGTAATTCATTTAAAGTTGTCACTTTGCAGGGCTGACCAGGGGGACCGTGGTCCTGGCTGAGGGCACTGCTCAGGCAAAGGTGTGAGCCCACATCCCTGCCCCCTGGGCCACCTGCAGGACGCTGGCCCCTGCCCCTCAGCAGACGCCGGAGAGAGATAAGTAGCAACAAAGAGCAGCCATCAGCAGTGTTCGTGATCCTCTTTGCTCTCACCACCATCCTCATCTTCTACAGTTCCAACAGTGCCAATGAGGTCTTCCATTATGGCTCCCTGCAGGGCCGTAGTCACCGGCCTATCAACCTGAAGAAGTGGAACATCGCCAATGGCTATGTCCCCATTCTTGGCAACAAGGGAAAAGTCCCATTTGTGGTTGAGCACTGGCTGGTTCACCACGGTGATCGTGGTGGAGTTGTGTGGCCACGTGCACATCTATGGCATGGTCCCTCCTGACTACTGCAGCCAGCGGTCCCGCCTGCGGCGCATGCCCTACCACTACTATGAGCCCAAGGGGCCGGACGAGTGTGTCACCTACGTCCAGAATGAGCACAGCTGCAAGGGCAACCACCACCGCTTCATCACAGAGAAGAGGGTCTTCTCATCCTGGGTCCAGCTGTACGGGATCACCTTCTCCCATCCCTCCTGGACCTAGGCTGCCCTGCCTGTGGGGCCCTCACAAGGGACGCTGGAGAAGTGGCTCTCGGCCAGCCACTCGACTAGGGGCCATGTCCTGGCCCTTCAAGGCTGGCTGAAGTGTCTTCTGGCCAGTTAGGGTCTTGAAGAGGGTGTATCTTCCAGCCAGTCAGGTCCCGGGGGTGTCTCTTGGCCAATCAGGGATTTGGGCTTCGATGTGGTTAATCAGGGGTGTCCGGGGATTTCTTGTCCAGTCAGGGTCTGAGCATAGTCAATCAGGGTATTTCTGAGTAATGTGAGGCCAAGGACCTGTCCTTCCCCATGAAGCCTTGGTTCAGAGCCCCAGGATGGTCCCCAAATTGTTTCCTATTGGCTGGGACAATGGGGTCCTGTCCCAAGGACCTGGGAACTTTGTGTTGCCCCCTCACTCCCCAGAGCCAGATAGAAAGGTTGCATGGGGGGTAGGAACTGTCTGGAGGGAAGGCTGGGGCATTGGTGGGGTTGGAGAGTCCCAGAGGTGGGAGGCCGGTGTCTGGGTCTCGGCTCTGCCCTGAGTGGCCTTGGACAAATCCCTTGTCCCCGTCTCTGGCACCCTTCTGCCCATGTCAGGTTCTAATGTGGAGTCTGTGACTCCCTCCCGCCTCCCCCACTGACTGCCTTGGGTCTGTCCCCCATAAGACTGGATCCTCCAGCCACTACTCCTTGCTCGGGCTCTCAGCTCCCTAGGGGCCTGGGGTTCCCTTTCCCACCTCTTCCTGGAGATGTTTTGCACAAACTCTCCCAGGTGAGGCCTTCCGCCTGTTTGAGGAGCTCTTGGGGCTGAGAAAGGGGGTACCCCAGCCAAACTGAGGTTTCAAGCAGCCCCTTTGTCTGCAGCTACTGGAGTCGTCTAAGAGTCTCCCTCCAAGTGGGCCTGGGAAAGCTCTAGGGGCTGGGTTCTGTCCCCCCTCACTCTGTACCAGGCACTTTATTGCTGGGCCTCAGTGGGGTGAGATACCCCTGCTCTTCTGGAGCCTGGAAGGGAAGACTAGAGAGCTTCCTGGAGGAGCCGGCAGAATGGGGGGGGCCAGGTAGAGGAGGAGGAGGCCAGCAGCAAGCCATTGCACATTGGGTGGGGGTGGGGGCTGGCGGCTCCCCCAGATTTGGTTTTGTAATGATTTGTACAGGAATAAATGTACCTAAGCTCCAAAAAAAAAAAAAAAAAAAAAAGTTGTCACTTTGACTGGAATGGTAAGTTCCTGGGGGCGAATAGTTCTTGTCCCTAATATCCACCCTAAGTATTGCCAAGGTTCTAATTGCTGTACCTTGTTTGGAGCAATTTGTAATCCCGCCTCTTTTAAAGTCTCCTGAAGCATTAGATAGGCCTGACTTAATTCTTTTGGGGGTAGAGGCAGCTAATAAAATATCATCCATATAAATGGCAGGAAATAGTTTCCTTACTGGCTCAATAGCATGATGAATATAGTATTGACAAACAGTTGGACTATTTATCATTCCTTAGGGGAGTACCTTCCATTGATACCGTTGCATAGGTTTACTATTGTTAATGGAGGGAACAGAAAAAGTGAGTTTTTCTCTATCTGTAAGGACCAAAGGGATAGTGAAAAAACAATCTTTAAGATGTATAGTAGCCCTGGCCGGTTTGGCTCAGCGGTTAGAGTGTCGGCCTGTGGTCTAGAGAGACCCGGGTTCGGTTCCTGCTGGGGTGCATACTTCAGTTGCAGTTCGTCCCCAGCCCTGGTTGGTCATGTGGGTGGCAGCCACTCGATGTGTCCCTTTCATGTCGATGTTTCTCTCTCTCTCTCTCTCATCCTCTCTCTCCCTCCCACTCTATCTGAACAAAAAATGGAAAAATGTCATTGGGTGAGGATAAAAAAAAAAAAGATGTATAGTAATTACATGACAATTTTCAGGAATCATTGTAGGATTGGGGAGCCCAGGCTGTAATGCCCCCATAGCACTGATTGCTCTCAAATCCTGTAGTCATCTGTTTACCATCTTTTTTAAGAATAACAAAAATGGGAGTGTTCCAGGGACTGACTGAAAGTTCTATATGACCTGCTTCTAATTGCTCTTTTATTAATCTGTTTGCATGTAACAATTTTTCCCCTTTTAAGGGCCACTGATCAACCCATACTGGCTCTGTTGTTTTCCAGGCCAATGAAAGGAGGGGAATTTTACCAGTGACCCCTAGCCAAAAGGCTGGGTTTGAATAACCATTCCCCATTGAGAGAGAAGATCCCTTCCCCACAAATTTAGGGGAGATTCTATGACATAAGGTTGAATCCATCCTTTTTGTCCATCTGGACCTGTACAGGAAAGGGAGTGAGTACTTTGTTGAGGAGCTTGAGTTCTTCCCACTCCTGTAGTTAATAGGGGGTACTGGGGCTTTAGGCCATTCCTGTGTTGTTATAATAGAAATGTCTGCCCCTGTATTCACTAATCTTGAAAATAGTTGCCCGTGTATATTAATGGAGATCAAGGGCTTTTTGGTGTTAATAGCCACAGTCCAGAGAACATCACACTGACCAGTGCTCCCAAACCCTGCATTTCCTCATTGTGGAGTTGCCTCCAGGAACCCAGTAGGGTAACAAAAGAAGGTGTGCTATTCGGGTTTCCAGTGTTAATACATGAAAGCCCACAGCCTTAAGCATTTCTTTAATTTCTCCTTCAAAATCTGAGTCAATTACCCCTGGCATTACTTGTAATCCTTTCATTGTTAAACTAGATCTTTCAATCATTAAACCTACTTTCCCCTCTGACATACACTCCTGTAGGAACTAAACAAATATTATCAGACTCCTTAAGGGTTAATTCTGTGGTGGTGATAAGATCCAGGCCAGCACTTCCTGCCATGGAGGCTTGGAGGATTGGAGACCCTTTGATTGACTGAAAAAAAGCCTGAGGCTGTAGGACCCAGGGAGCTGTCTGGGTGCCTGGTCTTGTGCCCTTCTTCCCACTTCCCAACAAGGGATTTCCATGTTTGCCATATCTAGACTCACACTGACTGGCCCAATGCAGCCCTTTGCCACATCGAGGACAAGGCTTAGTAGGAAGGCCACTAGTTCCAGCCTTTCCTCTTTTACAGTCCTTTTGAAAATGTCCTGGTTTGCCACAATTAAAACATAATTTGGACCTTTGTTTTTTATTGAATTCTCCAGTTGGCAACGTCTCAAGAGCAGCTGCTAAAGCTCTGGACCGATGTATTTCTGTCCCTACATTTTGACATGCCTTTATATATTCTCCTATACACGAGGTTTTCCCCTTCAATGGCGCAAGCACAGCCTGACAATCTGCATTAGCATCCTCACAGGCTAATTGTAATAGCAGTGTATCAGCTGCTTCTGCATTATCTATCTGTTTATTTATGGCCGCTTGCAACCGATCAATGAAAGACACGTAAGATTCCTGTGCTTCTTGCCTAATGGGAGCATAAGAACCTGTCTTTCCTCCAGACTCTGGAACCCTTTGCCAAGCTTTAGTAGCTATATCTGAGGCCTGATAAAACAATCTAGCATCTTGCCTTGCCTGTACTTGGGGATCTAAATAATTTCCTTGTCCTAGTAACATGTCTGGTCCAATAGGAATCCCTGTTCCAAATTTTTCCAATGCCTTTTGTGTGGCTCTGTCCTGATATTCTAACTTTCACATGGCGAATTGGGCCGGCGTCAACACTGTTTTTGCTAGCACCATCCAATCCCAGGGAGTCATCAGATAACTACCAGCTATTTCCTCCAACATTCCTATAGTAAAGGAACTTTGCAAATCATTCTCTTTTATGCTTTGCCTGAATTCTTTAAAAACCTGATAGGGCAAACATAAATGTATAGGTTGTTGACCTGGCCATATTATAGCTGGGAAAGCCCCAAGGTTGCCCCCTTTCCTGGCCTCTATAAGACAGCCCTCCACTGCTGGGTGTAGTGAGGCTAAGAAATTCTCCACAAAAGGTGGAGGATGGGGAGGAAAAGTTTGCTCCTTTGGTGGAATTTCCTCCGAAGGGGAGGTTGGAGCCTTCTCGCTGCTGGGACTGATCTGACTCAGCCGCTGCAATGCTGTAAATACCAGTCACCAGAAAACAAGGGTCCAGGTGGAAATTTTACACCCTAAATCTTTGCACACCCTAAAAGTTTCCCCTACTTGTGATAGAAGAAGTAAACTGCCATTTTAGAAAAAGCAAGTTCCCAGGAGATAACTAGACCCTTCTGCCTCCTAGAGATAATCAGACCTTTTGCTTCCTGCTTCTGTAAACTGCTTACCGCTCTTGCATCTAAAGCATGTCCGCCCAGCCTGCTATAAAGCTAGGCATGCCCTGCAGCTCAGGGCCCAGAATTTGGAGACTGCTTCCTCTGGGTCCACATGTGTAAATAAAGGAACCTCTTCACTTCCTCCGGTGTTTTGTCTGAGTCTTTTCCTTAACAGTTGGAACCACGTGTCAGAATCCAATGTGCCTTCCTTAGGGAACCATGGGCAGAATTCCTGTACGTCCCTCAGAAGCTGCAAGAGCTGGATCTCTGGATGCAGTTCCATTTATTTGCAGATTGGTACCCCCAGGTTACAAGAAGATTTATGTAAATTATTTCCTTGAGATGGCATTACTGCAAATCATACACCCTAGCTTTGTCTCTTGCTTTCTACGGGAAGAGACCTTGAAGCCAAAAGATAACAAACCCTTATTCACATGCAAATGAAGCCCTCAAAGCACCTGGGCAGGCCAGGTTTCTGAGAATGCATTAACATAAGGTTAAGAGTGCATTAACACAAGGTTACAAAACGTCCATCTTCCAACCCCCCAACCCCACAGGCCCGAGCAAGGGTTGACTTTTTGAATTATAACTCATATTTTATATTTTCCACTTTTTTTTTATGTTCACATTTTCCTATATCTTCTTGTACATATGAAGTATATCTAAATAGCTATTGCTACATTCTTTCACTGGTTTTATAATCTGTGTCTTTTCTGGATCTGTTGATTCATTTTACTCCTAGTTATGAGTCATATTTTTCGACTTCTCTACATGT